CAACTATAGTGAGGGCAGGTTCCCCAGTTGCCAGCCTAACCCTGGCTAGCCACCCAAGGGGATACCTGCTGCTGCTCAGACAGTGTTGGGAGGGACAGTGAAGGGGAGAGGAAGTAGCTGGGTGTAGCGATAATCCAGGCTTTCCTTCCCTCCCTCTGTACAGAAAGGCAAACATAGACACTGACTTCTGAAGTGCCCCAGAATCATAACTGGTTCTTAAGGGGAGGGAGTGAAAAGGTGGCCTTGTTCCAATTCCAGGCTTCTGGAGAAAGGAGGACTCAACTGGAGAGTATCAGAACCTTATAGAGTACTTCAGCAGGCCCAGCACCCAACCGTCCCCACCATACCCCTGCCCTAGGAATGCCCCTTACCACAGTGGCTTCCATTCCTGACATTTGGACCAGCTCCTGCACTTGAAGGACAAGGCAGCCACAGGGCAGCTCCGGAAGGTGGGAGGCGTAACTCCTTCATATCAGGCCATCTGGAGGAACACCAGATTTCCCTCTTGTGAAACAACCCCCACAGTGAGAACTCAATGGTCACCACACCAGCCACACAAAACCAGGCCCTGCAGAGCCATGACTAACACCAAGGCTTCTCTGATGTTTCACAGGGGAGAAAACCAGCCCAAGAGGCTGCCCTCACCCAACACTTCTCTAAGTCCAGACTCTTAAAGGTTCTGTTCAAGACTGGCCTAGTGAGCTTGGCAAACCCAGGAGCCTTCCTAGGATCTAAGGTTTCCTGAGGCAAAATTTCTTTATTTTTTATTTTTATTTTTTTAAAGATGGGGTTTCACCATGTTGGTCGGGCTGGTCTTGAACTCCCAACCTCAGGTGATCCGCCCACCTTGGCCTCCAAAGTGCTTGGATTACAGGCGTGAGCCACCAAGCCTGGCTGAGGCAAAACTTCTAAAGATGTAAATGGAACCCTTTGGTAGCTACAAACGCCATAGAGCCAAACTGCAGGTCCTATCCAAGCCCAGGATTCATTCTGGAAAATGAGATGTAAAAGCACTGCTGGGCTCTTCCTTGCAAGGGGAGAGATCAGAGAGGACAGGAGAACAAACAGCAGCTCACGCCAGTCTCAGTCTCCTGAGCTACAGACAAAAAGAGCCAAAAAGGTTTATCCTAGCTCAGCCACCTTCTGGCTTTGTAGCTACAGGCAAATTATTTAGCTTTTCTGAACGCTGGCTTTTCTATCTGGAAAAGGGGATAAGAAAAGCTGCCACTGGAGGCTACCTTAAGGGTCAATGAGTGAAAGGTTTTTGAGTGCTTAATGAACTGTTATGACGCAGATAGCTGAGATGACATCTGACTGCTCTTCACAGCAGTCCTTGCATGGTGAGCAGATGCAATCAGTGTGCCTGTTCATTCACTTGTTCATCAAACACCAACAGTAACCACTTGTGCCAGGCCCTGTGCTGGGCACCATAGGGGCTATGGAAGGAGTAAGACAGAGTCATACTCCCAAGGAACTCACTGTCCAGCAGAGTGATAGGACATGAATACATACTTCTAGCAAAAGCTAAATATCACTAGGCAGGTAGCCAGATGAGGTCAGAGCTCCGGCCCTAGTGCTCTGTAATGAGTTTCCAGGGAGCAGGAAAAGAAGACAAAACAGCAAGAGCACAGGAAAGTGAAGTATATGTGAAGAGGGGCAGAGTATGATAAAGCTACAAAAGTAGGGGTCAAGTCATGAGGCCCGGATGAGAAGTCACTGGGGAACCCTGGACAGGCTCTGAACGGGGGGACAGACTAGATTGACAAAGCAGCTCTTTCTGGAGACCTCCCGTGAAGGGTCTTCTACCCTTGGGAGAGGAGGTATCACTCACTTTACGACACACATGGGGAAAGAGGGAAAGGCACTTCCCTCAGTTCACTCAGTGGTCATGCCAGTGGAAAGCACCCAAAGCCTCGTCCAGGTCCTGCCATCTCCTGCGTGGGCTCCATCTCGGCTCAGTTCAATTTTTTTAAAGAGTCCTTCTGTGTGCCAGGCTCTGTGCTGAATGTCAGTGCCGGCCACAAACTGCACTAACAGTACGTCTCTGTGTTCCTCACTTTCCTCTTCGACCTTATCTCCAAAGACCTAGCTGGGCCTAAATCTCACAGCCAGAGGAATCCTTCCCAAACACACTGTTAATCACATGGCTAGTCCGTTTACAACTGGCTTACTAGAGCCAACAGGATAAAACCCACAATCAGGCCCAAACTCATCTTTGTCTGCCCTTTCCAGACCACACTCACTGAGCACCAAGGCCTGCACACTTCGCGGCCAGCCCTCCTGCTCTCCCCCTTGCTCTCCAGCCACACTGATGCTCAGTCCCCAACACCCCACCTCTGAGCCCTGCATCAAATACCAGCCCCCCTTCGCCGAGCTCATTCTTCATTATGCCTCAGAGCTCAGCTCAAGCATCACGTCCCTTCCCTGCGACAGGGTCAGGTCCTTTCCTGTGCGCCCCGAGCACCCTGCCTGTCCCTCGGAGTGCTCGCAAGAGGAACTGGAAAACTGTGATCCCCGCGCACAGCATGGTGTCTGCCTAGGACACAGCAAGCGCTTCAACGCGCTGAAATAAAAGAATCAAGGGGAACACCAACTCAGATGACACCCCCGCCCCCGAGTGTCACTGGCTAGATCTTCCCCCGGTTCGCCGGCTGCACCGGTGGGTCTTGCCATCTCTGCCCCGCAGCCCTCCTGGGGCCGCCGTTGCTGTCTGAGGACAGACGCCCCTCTCAGGAGAGCCGGAGCTCCCCCAGCGCAGGGCCCCGCTCCGCACTCCTGGTCCCGGGCGTCCCCACGGAGGCCTCCGTGCTCGGTGAAACTTTGCCGCGCACGGCAGCGGCCAGAGACCCGCGCGGATCCCGTCTCCACGCGGCCCGGCCCAGGGCGCGCCGCCCCCCCACCCCCACCCGCGGCAGCTGCCCTGACCTGGGCCAAGGTCGGCCAAGTCCCCGCCGCCTGCCCAGAGGCCCTCGGACCCACAGGCCCGGAACCTGAGTGCGCGGGAGCCTCCGAGCTGCGGCCAGGTCTCAAAATGAGCGGCGGGGCAGCCCGGCCCGTCAAGCAGAGAGGCCGAAAGTAGAAGCCTCACGTCTGGCTCGGTCACTGTTTGGTGCGAGACTTCGACAAGCAACTACCCTTCAGGGACTCAGTTTCCCTCGCGGCCAAGTGAGGGGAACAGCAGCGGCTCCCGCGAGAACTCGCGCGGGAACAGGAGAAGCGGGCTCCACACAGCACCTGGCACGCAGACTACTAACCGGCAGGAAGGCCGCGCTCCCGCCTCCGCGCCACCCTAGAACCTTTCCTACCTCTGCCTCCGGCTCCGGGACTCACCTCACGTCCCCTCCTTCCACCGTGGGCAGCCCAGCCTCCACCGCGCTCACTTCCGCTGACCCGCCCCCCGGAAGCGATCCTCCGCAGCTGCGCACCGAGCCGCGCCTCCGCGCACCCCCGGGAGGCGGGTCCAGCCCGGGGGCGAGGCGAGCGCGGCCCCTGAGTGGGCGGGGCGCTGGCGGCCGCACGCTCAGATCCCGCGGAGGCCACGCCCCGCAGAGGTTTGCGCCCCCGGGAAGAGTTGGTGGCCTTTGGAGATCCCGGGGCCCGATTCGTCGCGTCCCCCACGTTTAGCCCCCATCCGACTTGACATCTGGAAGCCGAGGGCTGACTGTCTTGCTCGACCCCTAAAATATGCGGTGTATGCTGCTTCTACCCCTAGGGCAAACTTCAGAATCCCCACCCTGGCGCTCAAGCCCTGGGCCCCTTCCCAGCTCATCTTGCAGAGGCAAGACTCTCTGCAAAGCCTCTCTCCAGCAAGAATGGGGAGAATGGGCCGAATGGGCCTTTTTTCTCCTCTGACTCCTGCTCTCCAGCACTTTGCAGCTTTCTTCTATTTTAGCCTCCCCCCGCCCTACCCCCGAAACACGCTATATTCAGTGAGTTCGCTCATTAGATGGGTACCATGCTCAAGATCCCAGCGGCGCTGTAGGAAGAGCCACATTCCTTCCAGGCTCACTAACCCACTCCCTCTTTGCGCTCCTGCCCTCACTGTCCTGGTCTGTGGCATTCAGTTCCCGGGTCACATTTCTCCCTCTGCCTTCAGAACAGCCTCAGGCTGTGTCTGGCTCCCACGCTGCGGTTTCTTGGTCCCAAAGCCTGCTATGCTCTCTGCCAGAGACAGAGCTGGTTTCATGGGTGAACGGGCCCCATTCTCAGAACTCTGTACTTGGTTTAGTACTCTGCTGTTGTCCTCTTGTAATGATTAATTTTCTAACTGTGCTCTGCAAATGATGTTACTGGTCCTAGTAAGAGACCTCAGAGGTCATCCATTCTGATCTCCACCATATTTAAAATGCTGAAGATTGACCAGCCCTCCTTCCAGGATGGCACACTGTGTTTTAATCATTACCTTCCCCTCCTGTGCAATGGCAGATCGTGGAAGTCCACGCTAGCTCTTTCTTGGGCATAGATGCTGATTTGGTGCCCCACTCAGAGCCCCTTGTAGGAAGAATGGAGACCCTTAAACTGGGAATTGCCTTCATCTCCCAAACCAATGACTAATACAAGGTCCAAAAGGTTGGATCAACTCTGCAGTGTGGTTTATGCCCCAAAGCCCTGTGGTTCAGGCCAAGGCTGGGCTGAGATTCTTTCTGCTCAGCATTTTTCCTTTCCCTCTTCTGTTTCCCTTCTTCTTTTACAGGTTTTTCTGGAAGTTCACTTCCTCAAAAAAATAAATCAATCACCTCATGCCTGCCTCAGGCTGTTTTTAAGACAATGAGTTTAACTTCAGGATCTTTCTCAACAGAAAGCACCAGATTCTCAAAACAGTTAAGTCCTACCATTTTTTCTATCACAAACTTATTTTGGGGAAGTCACTGAAGCCCTCTGGTGACTAAGATAGTCCTCGAAAGCATTCCAGCTCAAGTCAGCCCCAGAAGGGAGCCACCCCACGGAAGGGCAGAACTGACAACGTCCCACTCAAAGGAAAAGCGCTTAGAACCACCCTAGTCAGTCTTCTTTGATTTTATTACAGGGCATGTTGGGGACAGGGGAGGGAAGTGGCAACGGAGTGACAGGAGGGCAGCCTAGGCCCTCTCTCACCCTGAGCCTTGAGGCCTGGTAGACGACAAGAACTGCAGAGGCATCAGATGAGGCCTCGGAAAGTCCAGGCCATCAGCACCTTCCATGGGACCAGGAATGTGGAGTTGGCTCTCCAGGAACAGCACGAGAAAGGCTTGCATGAGCTACCCCCGCCACCTACACCTGACAGGATAGGGGAGACCCAGAGAGAGCATCAGGCGCCCTCCCTTCCCATTAAGGGGCACGGGGCACGGGAGCACTTCCCTCCAAGGACACACAGCCTGGCTGAGCTGGCTGGCGCATGCTCCTTCTGGTCTGGAGGTCAGAGGAGAGTGAAATACTCTGGTTTGAAAGGCCTTCCTTTCTACTTCGCGGAAAACAGGTAGGGAGGTGAGGGTGCAGTGCCAAAAAACACCCCCAAAACTCCACCTGGCTGAGTGACCCTGGGCAAGTCACTTCACTTCCTGGAGACTCGTATCAAGATGGGAACAATGAGCATGGCCTCACAGGTTTGTCGTGAGGATTAAGCGAGAAAGTGTGTGTAATATTACCGATGATTGCATGATACAAAATTGAAAACAAGGCTGGGTGCGGTGGCTCACGCCTGTAATCCCAACACTTTGGGAGGCTGAGGTGGGTGGACCACGGGGTTAGGAGTTCGAGACCAGCCTGATTAATATGGTGAAACCCTGTCTCTACTAAAAATACAAAAATTAGCCAGGCATGATGGCTTGTGCCTGTAGTCCCAACTAGTAGGGAGGCTGAGGCAGGAGAATTGCTTGAACCCGGAGGTCGAGGTTGCAGTGAGCTGAGATCGTGCCATCCCATTCCAGCCTGGGCAACAGAACAAGACTCTGTCTCAAAATAAAACAAAACAAAACAAAACAAAATTGAGAAGACGACTGGCTGGGGAAGGCTGAGTGGAAACACTCAAGGCAAGCAGGGGAAGTTGGTGGACAGAAGGCCTGGGAATGGCTGCAATGTAGCTTCCTTCTTCCTCTGCCAGGTTTAAGAGTGAGCCCCGGATGGGGAGAAAATTAGGGTCCCGGGAGGGGGCAGCCTGACGTCAAGGCCTGAATGAGAGTGCACGGGCGCCCACGGGCTGCGTGGAGGACGGGACCGCGCGGGGAGAACAGGGATCCTCTGAGGGCTGTTAAAAAGCTGAAGAGAAGGAAGAGAGGACTATTTCTTCCCACAGGTGCAGCTGCAAAGACATCAAGCTGGACCCATCAAGGATTTCAGATCCAGCCATCATGGGGCTGCTGCCGGGGACGCTAGTGCCCCTCCTTTCTCCTCAGCACCGGGGTTATAAAAAAATACCTACAAACCATGAGAAAGTTTGTGTAAAAACACTTTTCTACATGTATTAAAAAAAGAAACTGGCCGTGGTCAGTGGCTCAGGATGTGGACCAAAGTCCCAAGAGTGGCCAAGGGGAGTCCATGGCACCCCAGTGGTAGAAGAGGTAGCCTGGGGCACCCCTGTGGCCGGGACAGTGCTGGCTCTGGAGAAGGCTGCTCTTTGGCTGGGCTACGCTTCTGTGGATGCGAGGTCTGAGGGGCAGGAGGGATGGCAGGAGCCCTGGCTCCAGCAGTCCCATGGAGACCCTGTGCTGGGGTGGGCGGTGGGGGAGCCTTGGGCCTGGGCCTCAGGTAACCCCTTAGTGAACCCTATTGCTAAAGGCAGAAGCCTCTTCACAGTAAGCTCCCCAGACAGCTGGGGGAGCTGCAGGGGGTCCAGTCTGGTTTCCACTTCTGATGGAGGGTTCTGCCTAGAGGCTCCAGAAGGCTGTGTCCTACTGAGACCGACCCCAGCTGGGAACATCAGGCACAGGAGGGCAGCCTGGGGTATGGACAGGAACCAAGGCGCTAGATGAACAGAAGAGCCACCTTGGCAGCCTGGCTTCTGCCCGGGGCTTCTGGATATTTCCTTGGGGAAGGAAGCACGGAGAGGATGGTGGCCCTGTCTTCCTAGCCTACTCCTCCCTCCTCTTCTTCACCCCACAAGGGCCTAGACTGTCAGCTGGCTGGGAGAGGTCCAGGGAGTTCCCCCAGGCCCTGATCTGGGGGGGGCCCAAGCAGCTTCCAGAGCCAAGTGGGTAGGGAGAGGGTGACAGTCAGAGCTAGAGGTTCCTCTGCCCAGTCAGCCCAGGCACCCCTTGTTTCCCCACCACCATGGAGCCAAGGCTGTGACAGGCACCCTCAGTGGCTCTTGTACCCCAAGGCAGCCTAGGAGTGGGGGGGCGTGGGCGGCATCTGCAGTCTGCAGCGGGCTGAGGACCACGCTGGCTCTGGGGAGTGGGGGCCTGTGCATCACATCCCATCTGCTCCGTAGGCACCCTAGGGCTGGAGCAGGGGCAGGCCGCGCCGGAGCCCCTCCTTCAGGAACTGCATGTAGGTGGCCGTGGACGGGTCTTCAAAGGTGGGTGAGAAGCTGAAGAGATTGCTCTCGATTTCCTCGGGCTTCATGGAGGTGATGTCCAAGAAGTAGTTGGCGTTGATGTGGTGGACCTGGGAGAAGGGCTGGGTGAGGAGAGTGGGGAAAGGGGGCCCCCAGGCTCCCTGTGCCTTCTGCTCTCTGGGGAGAAGCAGGGACTCTCGAGCACTGGCAGTCCCCATCTGAGGCAGATGGTGGGCAGGCAGGCAGTCATGCAGTAAGCCCTGGCCAGCACCGGCCCCGCGCCCCACTCTGCACATGTGGGGCCCTCTAACGAGGGGGCTCCTCCCTGCCTTGCCCACGAGGTGAAAACCCAACACCTTCCAACATTGCCTCTTCCACTAGCCCTCTGCCCCACCCCCCAAAATGACCCTTCTCCTTGTTCCTGTGACCCCAAACTCCATCCCGCACTCCGTACCCACTTCTCTCACGGTATCCTCACACTTGGCAGCCTCCCCGTCGGCCTCTCGCTCCAGAAAGTGAGCTCCCTTAGCACGGGGCCATGTCTTTATCTTTGTGCCTGGCACAGAGTAGGTGCCCAGTAGATGAACAAACGAATGAACCGGCAGACGAGTGGCCAGCCTGTCGTCCTCCAGTTCCTGACACCATCTCATCACCCTGTGCCTGGACGGCAGACGCCTTCTGTGCGGTGCCCGCTCCTCTGCACCAAGACCCCACTGGACACTCTCCTGTGCCAGTCCCCGCTCCCCTGAGACCCTGGCCCCTCCTACAGCCTGGGTCCCACACTAGCCATGCCTTGGGACTTAAAGGATAACGGGTCGCTTCGATCAGATGAGCCAGAGCTCTGAGGCTTAAGGGCAGGCCCAAGTTCAAGGCCAGCTGCACTTCACTGTCTGCAGCATGTGTCAAGTCTCTGAACCTTTCTAGGCCTCTTTCCTTGTTTGTAAATGCGCATTCATGATCATCCATCTCCCAAAGCTGCTGTGAGGCCCCAGTGAGGAGGTGTGCCGAGTGCTGGGTAAGGGCCCTTAGCGAGAGGTGGGGTCTTGAATCCTGGCTCAGGGCCCTCTCCTGGTCTTCTCTGTCGCACGGCCTGGCTCTTCCCTCCCCTTCCGTCCCAGGACTGGTTGCCACGCCCCAAGGCGAGCCTTCCTTCCAGCCCATTTCTCGGGGGCGCTGACCCTGCTCCGGGACTGTGCTCACTGCTGCACAGTCCCAGTGAGCACCAGCTGCATCAGCGTTCCTGTTTCTACCTGGGGACAGCAGAGGCTCAGACTGGGTAAGAGACCAGCTTGAGGCTTTGCAGCCAAGAAGTGGCAGAGCCAGACCCGAAGCCCGAGGAAGCTGCACATCCATGCTGCCTGCGGGTTGCTCCCTGGGCCCTGTGGGGTCCGGGTGGGGGTGCCTACCACGGTGCCATTGGGCAGGCAGACCATCATCTCCACGGGGAAGCTGTACTTCTCCAGGTGCAGGCCAGCCAGCTTCTGGTGGGCCGGGTTCTCCTGGTTGCTCTGTGGAGACAGTTGTACACCCCTGATGCCGCGGCCCCTCCGCTGCTCCGAGGCTCCCGCTCTTGCACGCCTGCCCACTCACCTGCAGCTCTTCCAGCTCCTTTACCAGGGACCAGGTGCTGATGAAGCTCTCGTTGAGCAGGGTGAGGATGGGCGAACTTTCCAGGACGGTCTCCCGGAGAGTCCGCCCCGAACCTGTTCAGAAAGAGGAAAAAGCTGGAAGACAGAAGGGTGAGGCGCTCCCACATCTTGCTGGGGTGCAATCTTGCTTTGGGGAAACCTCACGGTTTACAGAACAGTCTCTGCACCCTGGTGAAATGACAGACTGAAAGAGCCTGACACAGAATAGGTGCTGAATAAATGGTAGTTGGAATTTACATCAATAACATGCCAGCATCCTGGGCTGAGTTTAGGGGTAGGGGTTCTACCTGGCCCCGGGGACTTGCAGACATTGACGGCTTCTTAAATCCAATGAAGGCTGTGCCCCAGGGCCTTCGCACAGGCTGTTCCTCTACCTGGCACACTCCATCTGATCACCTGACAAACTCCTACTCATACTTCAAAATCTCTGTGTAAATAGCACTGTCTTCACAAAGCCTTCCCTGACCCCCAGTTCTACACTCTGGTGCCACGCTGGATTGTCCCCTGTAGAACACGCAACCCACCTGTACTGATTCATTCAGTGTCTGCATTTGCACTGTCACCCCCTTTGAGGGCAGGGACCCTCTCTGACTTCCTCCCTGTGGGACACCAGCACCCTGCCCACTGCTGCACTGATGGTTGATGGGATGAGGGCAGGGCACTGTTTTATTCATCTTTGTGCCCGCTGCCAGGCACCTAAAGAACGTTGCATCTAGGAGGTCTTTGGTGAATTTTCTGAATAAATGAACGCAAGCCCAGCCTGTGGCCTGATTCTCTCTCTCACACATGTATAACACTTCCCAGCGTATGTGGCACATTCACCTCCATGCCCACAGCTCTGAGAGGTGAGTGTGTTACCCCCTCTTACTGCTGAGAAAACGAGGCTCAGGGAGGGGAGGTCACTTGGTCAAGGTTACCAGGCTGGCAATGGCTGAGTTTGAACCCCGTCTGCCTGGGCCCTTTCTTCAGCATCTGGTCACTCCCTCTGGGCTCAGCACAGAAACCCCAGGCCCTCACCCCACACCCCTACCATGGGCAGTCCCTGAGTCCCTCATGACTCAACAGGAGAGTCCCGTTGTCTCAGAGCTTCCAATACCCCACAAGGTATGGGCTTTCCCACTGTTCCCCTTATATCCAGCTGGGCCCCTCACCTCAGCAGGACTGGTCGTCCAGGGCCCCCCACAACAGGATCGAATGCACCAGCTTGTTCTCAGCCTTGGCTCGGTCGAAGGCCTCAGTGAATGGCAAGTAGGAGACCTGGGGTCACAAGAGACAGCGCGAAGCCGTCATCAAAGCGGCTAGGGTCCCACTGAGTCTAGTGTGTGCGTGTGTGTGTGTGTACATGTCTCTATGTACATTTGTATGTATATGTTTGTGTGTGTATATATGTTAGTGTGTGTGTCTGTATGTGTGTGTGAAGGGGGTGCTGCTGAGTTAGGGGATAGATGTCTCCTCCAAGTTATATTTACTTATTATTATTTTCATTTATTTATTTATTTTTTTGAGATGGAGTCTCACTCTCTTGCCCAGGCTGGAGTGCAGCGGCACAATCGTAGCTCACTGTCGCCTTGAACTCCTGGGCTCAAGCAGTCTTCCTGCCTCAGCCTCACTAAAGCTTTGGTATTACAGATGCCAGGTAATTAAAAAGATTTTCTGTAGATATGGGGTCTCGCTGTGTTGCCCAAACTGGCCTTGAACTCTTTTGGCCACAAGTGATTCTCCTGCCTCAGCCTCCCAAAGTTTTGGGATTACAGGCATAAGCCATTGCACCTGGCCTCTTCCTCCAAGTTCTGAATGACAGCAGGGAGGCCCCATTGGCACGAGCTGGGCCAACAGTGAGACAGCCTCAGCAGCAAGCCCCGCACACAGACCAGCGCCTGTGCCCAGCTGTGGCTCCCAGCCTCTGCCCATGCAGCTTCACCTGGCCTTCACCCCCGCCCAGCCTCACCTTCTTGAAGGGGTACATGGCCACCTCCAGGCAGCGGGCGGCCTCCTCCCAGCTCAGCTCCTGCTGCCACTTGATCTCCTCAAACACAAACTGCAGGGGCTCCCCCGAGGGCAGGTGGCTGTCAATCACGCTGCCATCCTCATCCAGGATCATGGAGGGCACTGAGGGGCCCGTGGCCTCCAGCTCCATCTGGGCCAGAGGTCAGTGGTTGGGGGAAGGCTCAGAGATGGTCGAAAATCCTCAGGGGGTCTCCGAGAGACCCTCCAAGATGCTCCACTCATTGCAGAGCAAAGGCAGGCTCCTGTGGCCGAACCCACCTGGATGGGAGCCTCCTGTGCACTCACCTGGGGTATGTAGCCAATGTCCACCTCCATGTTGCTGCTTTCACTGGCCCCATAAAGCCACTCCATGTCCACATTCAGAGACCTGGGGATGACCAGGGCAGAGTGATACCGTCATCAAAGCCCATTATCTGTGTCAGACTTTATCTCACGTAACACGTGCAGCTGTCTCCATTTTCCAGATAAGGACACAGGCTTCTCAAGGTGAACGCCTGCTCTCAGAGCCACCGGGATTCTGGCTGCAGAGCCCAGGCCTTCTCCCCACCAGGCTGCCCCTTCCTAAGGCACTGGAGCCACTTCACCATCTGCCAGTCTTGCTCCTCACAGTTCACCAAGGGCCTGCACAGCCATGGCCCATGTACTGCCCAGGACCCTTCAAGGCAGAGAGATAGCCAGTGCCTTTCGGCGGGTCACAGGAATGAAATGAGCACCGTGGTCCCTGCACAGACCTCTGGCAGGCAGCAGGAAATCTGACAGTGCAATCTGCAGATCCGCCACACGGAGGAGCCCCAGCACTGACAAACCACCACCTCCCCAGCAGGCAGGTGGCACAGCGGGGCAGAGCTAGGCACCCCCGGGGGTCAGCAGTCCCTGACACCTGGTCCTCAGACACGAGCCCAGGAGCAGCTGGTCCTGGAGCTGGTCACTGCCTCTCCTGTCCCACACAGGCCCCCTCCTCAACAACCCTGGGTTAGAGGCAGGTGTGCCCAGCCTTAGGCCCACAGATGGAGGGTTTGTGCCCTCCTCTTCCATTTCCCTTTGACTGGGAAGCCCCTGCCCTGCCCACTCTGGGGAGGGAGGGATTCCACCCCCACTCCTAGGGGTAACTTTCTCTTCTCACGTTACCCAACCGTCCTTTCACACCGGCCCCGTGGGTGCAAGAGGCCAGGAGTCAGTCTCCCACCTAACCCTACGGAGGGCCGGGGCCTTGCGCACGGCCGCACGGCCCAAGGGTGCCACAGCCAAGACTCAACTGCAGACTTCCTGGCTCCCAGCCCAGGTCTTGTCCCTGTAAAGCAGTCAGTCAGGCCCGCTAGGTGGCCACTTGCTATCAGGAATCTGGAAAAACTTGAAGCCAGGGCCTCCTGGGTCCCCTGCTCTGCTGACAGGTGGCCAGCCCTGAGCAGGGGAGGCAGGCAGGGGGTGGCCGGTGCAGCCCCATCCCAGAAGCCCCTCCAAGGCTCTGCGGCAGTGGAGGGCCCGCCTGCAGCCTTTGTATGTGCTGTTCCTCTGCCTGGTGAAATCCCTGGAGCCCCTGGTGTCTGCTGAGATGACCTTCTTCTTCTGGGAAGCCTTCCCACACCCCACAGCCAGGTTCCTGGCTAGCTGCTGGCCTTCCCCTTGGTGGCATGCACAGGCTCTGGTTACAGCTCTGCCTGGGGCCTGTCAGCAATGTGCGGGCGGGGAGGCCCAGCTTCAGGAAGGGTCTGCGGGCTGCTGCGCTGGGTCCCAGGCATAGAGGTGGAAGGCCAAGCCACGGGGTGCCTGGGAAGAGCTGGCGGGTGACCGGCTCATCCCCTTGCCTGCCTCGTGCCACCTTCTCCCGCCTCATGCCGCCTTCTCCCACGTCAGCCCCAGGAGATGGGCTCTGGGGAGCCAAGGAAGGGCAGAGACAGAAGGAGCCCCTAGGCTCCTGGAGCTGAGGAACAGGACCGGCTGGCTGCAGGAGGGAGCCGAGGAACAGGACCGGCTGGCTGCAGGAGGGAGCCGAGGAACAGGACCGGCTGGCTGCAGGAGGGAGCCGAGGAACAGGACCGGCTGGCTGCAGGAGGGAGCCGAGGAACAGGACCGGCTGGCTGCAGGAGGGAGCCGAGGAACAGGACCGGCTGGCTGCAGGAGGGAGCCGAGGCTGGGCCAGGGTCAAGCTCCCACCTGTGGTTGGGGACGAAGAGCCGGAAGTCGCGGACGTGGGTGGCATCTTTGGAGAGGATGATGTGGCCGGTGAACTGGGCAGGGGAGAACCAGAAGGGGAAGTCGGGCGGCTCACTGAGCTGGAACTCGGCGTGGATCCTGTGGGGAGGAGACCTGCTGCGCCAGAGCTGCCCACCTTCTCCCCAGGAGCCCGGAAAGCCTTGGCCAGACTCATCAGGGAGAGGAGGCCAAGTGTGGGGGTGGAAGTGGGTGGGCCGGGGAGCCACAGCTAGGCCCTCCAAATGCCGCCCGTCCTTCAAGGCCCAGGTCACGTGCCCTTCCTCCAGAAGCCCGGCCTGGACCCCCTTCCCAAGCTCCCACAGCTTCTAGAGAGCATGCATGACTAGGTGTCCTGCCTACTTCTGGGTGGATGGCACACCCATGGCTGCCAGCCCCATGCCAAGCAAGTTCCACAGCTTTTCTTTCTGAACCTTCATGTGCCCCATGAGGAAGTTATCAGCACCTAGATCCACAGATGAGGAAACTGAGGCTCAGGGAGCCAAGCTGCTTGCCTGAGACGGCAGGGGGAGGAGAGGTGAGCTGGGGGCCTCGAGCCGGGCACCCGCCTCCGGCCGCAGTGTCCGCGCCTCTCCGAAGCTCCCGAGTGGCCCACTCACCGGAACATCACAGTGTAGTAGAAGTCACTGACGGCAGTCAGGCAGGCCACCGCCCCCTGAGGGGCAAAGCGGGTCTTCACGAAGGGCCTTGGGTGGAACATGCTCAGGAGCCGGTGGATGATGACCTGGGATGGAGGGAGGCGAGCGCTGGCTTGCCGGGCCCCGCTGGGCCTGGATCCGCTGGGGTGGGGGTCAGCCCAGACCGGAAGGCCCAGGGGCCCCGTGGGGAAGGGGCAGGTCCAGAGGGAGGCAGGAGAGCAGTGGGGCAGGCCTGGCACTGGGGTGCAGGCACAGATGGAGGGGTGACCATTCCTGGGCCGGGGCGGTGTGGCCCCAGGTGGCACTGGCTGTCCTCACCTCCTTGCCCTTGGGCGGCGGCGGATAGAAGCGGTTGTTGGACAGGTAGCCAGTGAAGACGCTCAGCTCACTGGGGATGATCCACCAGGGCTTGCCCAGCTCCTGGCCTGGCGGGGGAAGGAAGGGCTGGAAGTGGCGGGCGGCAAACACTGCCCTCGGTGAGGCTGCAGTCGTCCAGTTTCGGAGGCCAGACAGGGTGAGGCGGGAGACCTGGGGCAGGGGAAAGCGAAGCCCCAGGAATCTGAGAACCATGACTCTGGGGTCTCCTGTCCCATGTGGGTGGAGGTTCCCCCAGGCCCAGAGCCAGCCCACACCGAGGGAGCAGATGGACCCCAGGGAGGTTCCTGCCCCAGTGTTGGCCACAAGCTTGGCAATACCCCACCCAAGAGAGGCTCCTCTGCCCTCTCCAGTGCCTCTGCAGACCATCAAGGGGCAGCCCAGGCCAGAGCAGCTCACTCAAGGGCAGGGCTGGAAGGGGTGGTAGGGCTCTGTGCCTCGCATGGTCCTGCCTCCATCCTCTGCATAAGCTCGTGGGCCAGCCTTGGGTGCCCCACCCTGCCCAGGCTTCCTGGGCCTCCAGCAGCCCTGCTCTCCCTCCCCCACCTCCTCTTCAAGTCTCTTCCCAGGGACTAATGTCCCACCGGCCAGCTCAGGGTTTTGGTTTGGAGCTAAGTCCGATGAGGGTGGTGGGCAATCATGTCCGAGGTGAAATCTCTAGGGTCAAGAGCAGAATGAGACCACAGGGAAGGGGAAGGAGGGACACCCCAGAAGCGCCCTGCCCTAAGTACAGCCTGCCCCACCCTGGCTGAGCAGCGTGGACCAAGGCCTCCTCTAAGCCCGCGTCCTCATCAGTGACCTGCCTCGTCTCTGTCTGACAGGCTGATAGCCTGGAGAGGAGACTCAGAGTCCACAGATCTGTCTACACGTCGGCTGGTCTTCGAGGAGCAGCGGGTTCCCTCTCCTGTCCCCACCTCCATGGCAGCAGGAGCTCAGGCTTGGTGGGAGGTGGGAGGAAAGCAGTGTGGAGAGCTCCCACAGAGAGAGATTGAACAGGCGGTTCTCAAGGCAGAGCGGCTGTGTGGGGCCAGGCTGAGCCCGCCCTGCTGGGTCCTTTTTGTGGGCTGGCCACCCCCTGCAGGGGACCTGCCAGAGATGGGTGCTGGGCTTGGTGCAGCTCAGCCTGGGGGCCAGGGCTGGGGGTGCTGTTCCTGCCCCAACCCAGTTCTTGCTGTCTGTGGGGCACTCATCCGCTCGGACCAGCCCATCACTGCCAAACCCAGAGATGGGCTCCCCAGCTGCTTCTGTGGAAGGGCAGACCCGAGTTTCAACCACTGCCTAGACCTCTGCCTGCCTGCTGGGCTCTCTCTCTTTGGCTGAGAAGAACACGTTGAATCATTTGTTCATTCAACAAAATGTTTTGTGCACCTACTATATACACAGTTTATATCAGGGTACACTGCACGCCCTGTCTTCTTGGAGTTCATAGTGGGAGACGGCAAGTGAACAGGAACAAAAATGGGCACTGCCCTTCCCTGAGCTCCTCCATGGAATTCCCATCCCTCCCTGAACCTGCAGCAATGAGGTTAAGAAAGGGGCTCCCAGCCAGGTGCGGTAGCTCACACCTGTAACCCCAGCACTCTGGAAGGCCGAGGCGGGTGAATCACGATGTCAAGAGATTGAGACCATCCTGGCCAACATGTCTCTACTACAAATACAAAAAAATTAGCTGGGCGTGGTGGCTCATGCCTGTAGTCCTAGATACTCGGGCGTCTGAGGCAGGAGAGTCGCTTGAACCTGGGAGGCAGAGGTTGCAGCAAGTCGGGATCGCACCACTGCACTCCAGCCCGGTGACAGAGCAAGACTCCGTCTCAAAAAAAAAGAGGGGGCTTCCCAGCACTGCTTCCCTGGGCTGGGTGAGGTAGTAATTCCACTGTAGGTGCCAGCCTCACGGTCATTCCAGTTTTTTCTGCCATGTGGCCACCAGGCCCTAAAGCTGGGTACTGCCATGGGGCTGCTGCTGGGCGGTGGACACCCAGCACCCACCGGGACCTCAACTTCAACATGTGCAGACTGACCTCATTCTCTCCCCACTCCCTGCTCCAGTCCCCATCTGGGCAAGCAGCCCACCATGTCCCTGGTCCCCAGCCAGAAGCCTGAGTCATCCAACTCCTGCCCACCATTGTCCATGAGGAGCCACGCCCTGCCCTTTCTTCCTTCCCCAGCACCCACAGGCTTCCCTAACCCTCCATCACCTCCACCTCTCCCGTCCAGACCTGGTCGTCTTGCTTTCCATTTCTCCCTATTCTCCCCATGCCCCCCATGCCCTGTCCCTGGCCTGGGAAGCCCAGGTCTGATGTGGAAGCTCTTATTTAAAATCTGCTTGCTCCTGTAATCCTAGCACTTTGGGAGGCCAAGGTGGGTGGATCACCTGAGGTCAGGAGTTCAAGACCAGCCTGGCCATCATGGAGAAACCCCATCTTAAAAAAAAAAAAAGAAAGGATTTAAAATCTGCTTGCTATTCTGCCGCCACAGAATGAAGGCTAAGGTCAGGCCACAAGGCTCTTGGTGGGGTCTGGCAACTTCTCTCCGGGCCCACTGACCAGGAGGCCCTTTGTGGGTCCTGCATGCCCTGGACCCAGCCCCACCAGCCGTCTGGCCTCAGTGACCAGCCTGGCACTTCCTGCCTTCAGGCCTCTGTTTGTGCTGAAGTGGTGCTGGCTGAGATGAAAGGGCTGGGTCAGTGTGGGCTGGGCACAGAGAGGCAGTGTTCCTGGCAACGGGAACCACATGTGAGAAGGCTCCCAGTTGGAAGAAAGCCTGGGGATTTGGAAGGAAGGAAGCATGTCTGGTGTGGTTGGAATAGAGGAAGCCCAGGGAGGGGAGGAGGGAGTGGGAGAGCGAGCAGAAGGGCAGGCAGGGGCCGAGGCAGCTTCGTCCTAGAATGCGCTCAGGAGCCGTCCAAAGGGCCTTGGGTGAGGGAGGGGCTGGCAAGGACAGCATCTGTCCACCTCCTACCTCCACCTTCCCAGGTGCCATCCCCCGGAAAGCCCTCTGCTGGGGACCAAACCTCAGGTCTAGATCATCAGAGTTCCGCAGAGGCCCTATCAGGTGCCAGGTATCATGCTATGGCCTGCGGCGAAGAGATGGACGTGCGGGAAGTAATCATAATACGCAGGGCAGCCGCATTAACAGGGTCTCTACTGCACTTGCTGCTTCCTCCGAGACCCCGCCCACCTTGCTCAGTCACCCTGCTGAGCCCTCCCCATCCTGCAGTCTACCAGATGTCACTTCCTCTAGGAAGCCATCCCAGATTCCCCCAACTGGGGTGGAGGCTAATGCTTCTCTCTCCTGCTCCCTCAGCAAGCTGTACGCCTGGACAGCAGGGACAACATCACAGCCACGTGGACCCCAGGGCCTGGCATGGGGCCTGGCTCCAGTGGGCACACAGAGGGCAGAGGGAGGAAAGATGAAAGGAGCAGAGCCTCGTCCTCAGGAGGCGGATGTGCACGGATGACCCTGCTGCCTGGGGTCCCCAGCTCACCCCTAAGAAGCCATCTTTGCTCTTGGTCATGGTCTCCGGGAGCAGAGGCTGGAATCGGGCTTCTACGGTGAGCGTCTCCTCGCTAGGGTCAGGGGGCAGCTCCTCCTCCTCGTAGCTGGCCTCAGGAGTTGACCCTATGAGACACAGATCATCAGAGGCACTGGCCTCATGGGGCAGGGCTTGCCTCTCCCTGGACATCCACACTAGCCGGTTATTAATGGAGCCAGGCAGGGGTGAGGGGTGCGGGGGTAGCTGGGGTGTTAACAGTTAACAATCACCAAAGTAACAACCAGTGTATCACAGTTTAGTTTCAGGATAGCCCAGGGAGGCAGATAATAACATGACCAACTCCATTTGACAAATGAGAAAGAGAAGACTCAGAAAGGTGAAGCCACTTCCCCAGGTCACATAGCTAGATGGTGGGGGAATCAGGGTGGAAACCCAGGCCTGTTTACTCTCAACCCATGACCAAACAGGACCCTTTTCTGGGTCTTCTGAGACTGAGAGGAACTCAGTCAAGGGAACCCGAGTTATGAATGAAAGCAAGAAACAGAATCAGGCTATCTTTGGTGTCAAAGGGAGAGCATTGGTTTGGGAGCCAGGAGACCCATTTTCCCCTGCTTTTTTTTTGTTGGCGGGGGGCATTCCCCAGCTGCAGGAAGGGCTGAACTGGCAGTGGCTGGACTTGATTTCTTGGATCTTTTCCTGCTCAGAGATCTGGCAAGTCTGTAACCTTCCCAGTGTGGAAGGAGTCATTTTGAAGCGCTAAGGGAGAAATGATGTCTGTTTCAAAAGGGGTGAGGAATAGACACCAATAAAAAAATGGAGCTGGGTTGGGGGTCTTGCCCTGTCTGCTCTCTCAGGGCTGGGTCATGGTACAGAGATGATGCCTGGCATTTGCTGGCTGACTGGCTAGCAGGCTGAATGATGTATTAGAAGCAGTTCTCACCCAGAAGTCCTCAAAAGCACCGAGGATGCCTTTAAGCTGCAGATGCTCACAGCCACCTCAGACCTACTGAATCAGAATCTGCAGGGGCGAGAGTCTGGAAACTGCCCTTTTAACGGCTCTCCCTGCTGCTCCGGATGCAAATGCCTATTCTGCAGAATCACTGTGATTTCTGTATTTGTAAGTCAATGCAATGAAACTTTCCAAAACAATCTAGAAACCCCAGGGAAAGGGAGCAACAGGAAGAGGCATGGTTATTAGTCAGCCTTGCTTATTCAGTTCTTTTACTGATATCACAGATAAATATTAGTAATAATGACTCCCAGCTGGACAAGGCGGCTCACACCTGTAATCCTGGCACTTTGGGAGGCTGAGGTGGGTGGATCACCTGAGGTTAGGAGTTTAAGAACAGCCTGGTCAACATGAAACCCCGTCTCTACTAAAAATACCAAAATTAGCTGGGTGTGTCAGCACACACCCGTAATCCCAGCTACTCGGGAGGCTGAGACAGGAGAATTGCTTGAACCTGGGAGGTAGAGGTTGTAGTGAGCCAAGCACTCCAGCCTGGGCAACAGAGCAAGACTGTCTCAAAAATAAATAAATAATAATAATAATGATTCCTCCACCATCTCGCTGTACCAACTGGGCAAGTAATTTTACCTCTCTGAGCCTTTACTTTCTCATTTGTCAAATGGAGTTGCTAATGACGTTATTAATTATAATAATAAAACTCAGCATTTTACAGCCCCTTTGGCTTTTTAATAAAAAGTTTTTTTTTTCCTGACTTATAAGTAACACTTGCCCATTATAGGCCATTTGTAAAAATTTTAAGGGATAAGGCAGAAAATTAAACACATGCGTAACTCTGCCAATAGCACTAGTTGGCTCTATTTCCTGCTTGATTTGATTTTTTCCCCCCTTTGATTGCTCCAAACGCGGTCCATTTTTACATTCACAGCTTAGAGGTAATGGAGGCATTCTTTGACTCTGTTGGAGAAAAAGATTTCTGTGCAAACAAATTAAAAGTGCCCCTCAAGCCCAGCAAGCTTTGCTAAAGTGCCATTATGAGAGAACTCTCACTCGGGCCACAAAAAAGGACCAAACGGTGGCTGTGCAGATGCTCAGAAGTGTATGCGAAATAAGAGGTACAGGCAGGGCCACAAGGGGACGACCTGTTTATCTGCCATCTGCTTTCATGACAGAACTGCCTGCCACCGAGACACTGACACACACCCTCTCCAGCTCATCAGCAATTTTCATCTGACCTCCCTCCTCCAGCGGCAACTGCAGGTCACCAGGCCAGCACGGAGCCAACCTACACAATCCACCCGCGAAAACCAGCAGGCCCGTGACAGGGCTCTGGTGCTTACACACCGAAACAACCAGCATGTCTCTCTTGCCTTTCCCATCAATGACTGACGTACACCAAGCAAGCTGTAGGTGCCCAAGATCCTAGGTTCAAGAAATGTCACAAGAAGTTGGAAGAAAACGGACACAGAGGTTGGGGTGGTGGGGGAGGGGGGGGCAGCGAGAGAAGCATTTTATAATTCATTAGACCATTTCAGCCCCTCATGTTTAATCGAAAAATAAATAAATAATCACTGATTACAACTAGGCAAAAATGATAGCAAGAATGAAAGAGGAGACCAGATGAGGTGGCTCACACCTGTAATCCCAACACTTTGGGAAGCCAAGACCGGAGGATCACTTGAGGTCAGGAGTCCAAGACCTGACTAACATGGTGAAACCCCATCTCTACTAAAAATACAAAATTAGCTGGGCATGCTGGCAGGTGCCTGTAATTCCAGCTCTTGGGGAGGCTGAGGCAAGAGAATTGCTTGAACCAGGGAGGCAGAGGTTGCAGTGAGCCGAGATCATGCTACTGTACTCCAGCCTGACAGCAAGACTCTGTCGCAAAAAAAGGGAAAGGAAGGAAGGCGGGAGGGAGGGAGGGAGGGAGGGAGGGAAGGAAGGAAGGAAAGAAGGAAGAGAGGGAGGGAGGAGGGAATAGGAATCTGAAAGCACCTAAGCAGTTTCAAATTTAGTATATAGCTCTTGGCTGGGTGCGCTGGTTCACACCTGTAATCTCAGCACTTTGGGAGGCCACGGTAGGAGGATCATTTGAGCCCAGGAGTTTGAGACCAGCCTAGGCAACATAGTGAGACCATACTCTATAAAAAATAGAAAGATGAGCTGGGCATGGTGGCACATCCCTGTAGTCCCGTTACTCAGGAGACTGAGGCAGGATGATCAATTGAGCCAGTGAAATTGAGGCTGCAGTGAGCTGTGATTACACCACTGCCCTCCAGCCTGGGTGACACAATAAGACCCTGTCTCAAAAAAAAAAAAAAAAAAAAAAAAAAAGTTACAGCTGCTGTCTACTGGAAATCCACTATATATTTATCACTATGCATTTCTTTTCTCTCTCCTCAGACCTGTGAGCTGGTGCAGGATCCCGGAGCCAGACGGCCCCAGTTCTCACCCTGGCGCCCAGTTCTCACCTTTCTACCTTGGGATACTGCCTACCTGTGCCTTAGTCTCTCAAACTATCAAACGTGGGGATCAAGGCAGTGTCCATCTTCCAGCTGATGTTTAAAGAGAGAACCCACATGAAGTACTTAAATGTCTGGCATGGAGGTAGCCAAGGAATAGGTTTTTTTGTTTGTTTTTGGTTTTGCTTTATTTGTTTTGAGACAGGGTCTCACCCTGTCACCCAGGCTGGAGTCTAGTGGTGTGATCTTGACTCACTGCAACCTCTGTCTGGTGGCCTCAAGTGATCCTCCCACCTCAGCTCCCCAGGTAGCTGGGACTACAGGTGTGCGCCAGCACACCCGGCTAATTTTTGTATTTTTGTAGGGATGGGATTTGCCATGTTGGCCAGGCTGGTCTTGAACTCCCGGGCTCACGCGATCCTCCCATCTCCCAAAGTGTTGGGATTCCAGGCGTGAGCCACCTCGCTGACCCAAGAATGTTAACTGGTATTATTCCTCACAGTTTGAGATAAACAGGCTCAGGGGTTGCTGGAGCAGCTCGCTCAAGCCACCAGCTAGAAAGTGTCAGCGCTGGGAGAAGTCCAAGGCCTCTGGGACCCCAGGAGCTTCCCTCCACTCCAGACAGCCGCTCCTGCTCAGTGAAGACACAGTGGCCAAGGCGCCCTCCTCCCCAGTCGCCAGTCTCTCCTGGTACCTGTTAGCTTCTCAGCAATGGGCTTGAACTCCTCGGGGCTGATGTACATGTCCCCGTCAGTGTCCAAGGAGGAAAAGAGAAAAAGGCCATCTGTTCCCAAGGTCTTCAGCGCTGATTCCTAATTGGGAGGAGAGACGAGTCTGATAACCAGTTGGCAGCCGGGTCTCCTGGTCCCCAACAGGCCGTTGCTTCGGGATGGAGCCCATCCTGCCACCATCTTCCTGAGTTCTCCCAGTGCCTCCAGGTCCATCCGTGCAAATGTCACCTCTGCACCGCCCCAGAGCCTCCAGTCCCTCTGGTCCCTCTGCGTGCCCCTCCCAGTCTGTCCCCAGCCCGCCTTCTGCCTGGCCCTGTTCCTCCTGCACCCTCTGTCCTCTCCCGAGTCCCCTCCTCACTGCTCCAGGGCTTCCCAGTGCCCCTTTCAGACTCTGCGGGGTTCCAGCTTCACTGCGCCCAGGTCACCCCTCTGGACAGGCCCCTCCAGTCTGTCCCCGCTGCATACAGGCCTCCGTTCGCCTCCTCCCCATCAGCCCGGCCCCAGGTACCCCCCAACCCGGCTCCCGCGCCCCCTTCCTACTCGTTCCCCTCCGCCCCTCGCCCCCTCCCGACTCGCCCCTGCCCACGCGTCCCTCGCGCTGGAGGCTCGGCCCTTCAGTCCCCGCGCCCGCGCCCCCGCCCCGGCCCGCTAGGGCCCGGACCTGCCGCGCGGCCGCCTGGGCCTCGGCGTGGAGGGCGCAGACCCGGACGGCGGCGGCGGTGGCTGCGGCCAGCAGGGCTCCGAGCAGCGCCAGGGCGCGGGTGCGGCGGCGGGGCGGCGGCTCGGGAGGCGGCGCGGCGGGGCCGGGGCCGGGCGGCCCGCGCTGGCCCAGCCGGGCCCGGCCCATGGCGGCGGCTGGCAGCGGCTCCGGACGGCCCCCGACGCGAAGGAGCCGGGCCAGGGGCGGGGCGGCCGGGGCGGGGCCGGGGGCGGGGCGGCCGGGCGGGGGTCGCTGTGTCCGGGCTTCCGGGCCTGTCCCGCGCCCAAGGCGGGGTCGGCTACCCCAAGCGCCAAACGGGGCTGAGCGCGTCCACGCGGTCGGGTCCGCAGCCCCGGCCACCCCGGCCTCCCCAGGCCGCTTCCTGCCTCTCCGCGTCCCTTCCTGTGCGTCCCGAAGCTGAGCCAGGCCTCTGCGGCCCGCTTCCCCGGCCGAGCCCGGAGAGCGATTCCAGGCTGGGGACTGGCACAAAAAAGGGTCTGGGGCCGGAGGCTCGGGAGAAGCCACACACCCCGTGCTCTCCTGGAGAAGGGGAGTCGGGGGCCACCGGGGCTTCGTGTCCACCTCTGCTGACAGCCGTGCACGAGGCCAGACGCTGCTGAGGGCCATCCGTCCATTCTTATCCCACTAGTTCTCTAAACGTTCCTCTGTCATCTAGAGCAAGACAAATTAATTAAAAAGGGAAGGCCGGCCGCGGTGGCGCAAGTCTGTAAACCCAGCACTTTGGGAGGCCGAGGCGAGTGGATCACGAGGTCAAGAAATCAAGACCATCCTGGTCAACATGGTGAAACCCCGTCTCTACTAAAAATACAAAAAATTAGCTGGGCATGGTGGCGCGTGCCTGTAATCCGAGCTACTCAGGAGGCTGAGGCAGGAGAATTGCCTGAACCCAGGAGGCGGAGGTTGCGGTGAGCCGAGATCGCGCCATTGCACTCCAGCCTGGGTAACGAGGGAAACTCTGTCTCAAAAAAAAAAAAAAAAAAAAAAAAAGGGAAGTCCAGCCCCCATTACCCTCCGGTGCAGATGCACGGGTTATGGGAAATGACCTTGTTCCAGGCACTGGGGGGGCAGCTCTGAAACCTGCACCTCCCTGAGCCCAAATTTCCTCATCCTCACTAGGACGTTAAAAGAGCCCCCCACCCTCCCCACAGGGCTGTTACGGTGAGGGGAAGGCGAGGCCGTAGCCCCTCAGCTGCTGGGGCTTCCAGAGGCCCTGGCTTTGCCGGAGAACAGCACGCGGCGTGCTTGGAGGCGGGCCCTGGGAAGGGAGGTGGGTGGGGCTGAGGACAGATGTTCCTGCCTGTCAATTCTCAGCAGCCTTGGTTCCTTGGGGCTCTCTTCCATTCTTTCAAGGCCACCAGTTGCCCCGGGCTGGCTCTGCCTGCATTTTCTCAGGAGAGGGCGGCAGCTGCAGAAGCCTCTAAGCAAGAACTCTGAGCCCAGAAGCGAGCGGTGCCCGCCCTCGCAGAGCCCCACCCACCCCCAGCGCCTGGGCACCTGTCACGCTGCAGAGGGATCCAAGGGATGCTGAGCTCCGCCCGTGCGCTGGACTTGGACGGGATGATTTACACATTCTCTCATTCAGTTCTCAAGCCGCCTACTGAAGTAAAGACTGCTTGCCTGCTTTTCAGATTAAGAAGCCTGAGTTCTGGCAGGTCTACCTGAGTCCAAATCTCCTGCCATCCCGCCTCCCAGGTTTCCCAGGGGATGGCCCAGCTGACTGAGCTGGAAGTGGGGTCCTGCCTCCACTGCCCGTTCTGTTCTTCTTTGGTAGCCAGCCACGGCAGTGCCAGGTGGGGCCTTCCCAGTGCCTACGCAGGGCCTGACAGGCACATGATGGGCTCTCCTCAGTGTCTGTTGGATGAATGACTCCCAGGGACCTTCCAGAATTTGAGCCTGACGCAAACCCTGCCCTGTGCTCTGGCCCCAGTGTCCTTAGAGGGACCCACTGAGGGCCTGACATCTGACATTGGCTTCTGAAGGCTTCCAACTATGTCACGTTCAACTCTTTTTTTTTTTTTTTTTTTTTTTTTTGAGACAGAGTTTCGCTCTTGTTACCCAGGCTGGAGTGCAATGGCACGATCTCGGCTCACCGCAACCTCCGCCTCCTGGGTTCAGGCAATTCTCCTGTCTCAGCCTCCTGAGTAGCTGGGATTACAGGCATGAGCCACCATGCCCAGCTAATTTTTTGTATTTTTAGTAGAGATGGGGCTTCACCTTGTTGACCAAGATGGTCTCGATTTCTTGACCTCGTGATCCACCCACCTCGGCCTCCCAAAGTGCTGGGATTACAGGCTTGAGCCACTGCGCCCGGCCCCACGTTCAACTCATTGTTGCTACTGTTTGGGGACACCCTGCAGACGACAGATGCTATTAGAAACCAAATTCCTTTCTATCGGAAGCAAAGCTAGCAGAGCACAAAGCAGGTTAGGAGGGGAAGATTGATGAGCTAAGTCTTCTGGAAAATAAACAAAGGAAGTTTTCTTTCCCAGATAACTTGTATTTATTACACTTGCTTTTTCTTAAAGATTACAGGTACCCCACTGGTCTCTGCTGCCCAGTGCTGAAGCAATGTGCTTGCAGGACTTGGAGGATGATTCTAGAAGCTCAGGAAGGCACACAGCGGGGTGGGTTTATGACACTCAGCTCAGATCAGTGTGCCTCTGGGAAAAGGATCTCTCGGGCCCAGCTCTGGGAGACGTCAGCGCTGGGCACTGGCAGTGGAGTGGGGATGGTTTGCCACTGGAGGGCGCCCTTCCCAGGAGGGCTTGTCCCAAACCAAGACCAGGCAGGGCAAGACCTTGAGACATGGGGCCCAGTGGTCGGTTCTGGGGGGCAGCCCTGCAGGATCTCTTTGGCACCTTGCTTTTGCCTCCCAGTGGGCGAGGATGGCATTTGGGAACTGGCAGCCAATGGGAACACAGCAAGGTGAATGACACACTGTCCTCGAAGGTCTCGGAGGTTAGCAGGGCACTCACTCATTCATCCTTCTAACACGTTTATTGAGGGGCTACTATGCTGTGTCCTGGGGATGGGGGTGTCCATTAGAAAACAAAACAGTCTCTGCTCTTCCAGACGAGTCAATGGATGCCGCAACCCTCCTGTCGAGGAGTAAGTGCTCTGAGAGGGGTTTGCGTGGACGAGGGGCCCCCGATTGTCAGGACGGCTCAGAACAGGCTTCCCAGAGCAGAGGTCTGGGCAGACCTTGACTTCGGGAGATCACCAGGCATAGCACCCAGGGAGAGCATTCAGAGGGTGGGAAGAGCAGAGGCGAAGGCTCGGTGCTGTGAAACTCCATGGAGTATCCCTAGTGTCTTGAGGCCATAGCCAGTGGATTCAAGCAGAGGGACCTGGCAGAGAGTGTGAAGAGGGAGGAGGAGCCAGGAAAGTTGGGCTGGAGCTCTGGCCAGCTTGTGCAAAGCCTGGTCTTTACCGTTGAGACCATGTGGAGGCATCAGAAGAGAGGGACATACATTTAGCCATTGCAGTACCCTTCAGACTCCCTACGGGGTCCCAGCTTCTACCTGGGCCAGCGGAGCTCTGATTTCCACACCCACCTCCCTGCACAGAGGATGTTGGCATAAGCACACCAGGTCGCTCCATCCACCCACAGGAAGAGGAGAGAGCCTGACCTGCCTGCAGCCACATTAAGCAGGGACGGGGTCACTGTCTCAGACCATGGCCCTTCTCTCTACACTCACACACCCCTGCCTGCCTCCTAGTAGAGTCCTCTCTTCTGCTTCCTGTCTCTCTGGTAAGACCAGGGAAAGGCCTTCTTCCTCCAGGGGGCGCTGCTGCCCTCCAGGGAATCAAATCGAATTAGGATTTTCCACTCCAGTTTCACCAGGGACAGTGAGCCAGGGAGAGGGCCATTTGGCTCTGTTTTTGTGTGTTTCTCCTCTTCATCTGGGACCCTAGAGAAGCAGGTGATTTTCCCCAAACCCAACCCTAACATCTTGGCAGCCAATAATAGGACCAGCATTTGAGAATAAAGGGTCGCTTGGGGGAAACCGAGGCCTCTGGTGCCGCTGCCGGAGTTGCTTAAGCATGCCTAGACCACTTGGGCCTCTCAGCAAACTAAGTACCTGCTGTGTGCCAGGGACTGTTCTCAGCCCTGGGAACACAGTAGTGTGGAAGGCGGCATGGTACTTCCTCTCTGGGGACTGAATATTCCACAGGGAGGAAGGAAATGACAGCACACAAAGTAATGACAGAGAGAGGTTAAGTGTGAAGGAGGGAGACAGGGCACCGTGCTGCAGCGGGCATGAGCAGCGTAGCTGGGAGGCGACATTTCCACTGCTCCGGGAATGGGAAGAAGCAGCCAGCTATGTGAGGAACGGAGGAAGGAGTGTCCTGGGCACGGAGCAGAGGGGAGAGCCAGTGCAGAGGCCTGGCGGGGGAATGAGCTTGGCGTGTCCAGGAGAGGCACAGAAGGCAGAGCGAGCTGTGGGAAGAGAAAAGCTTGGTGACAGGGGCTGGGGCAGGACCTCAGAATCTTGCAGGCCACAGCAACAAACTTCATTCGATTTATTTATTTACTGAGACAGGGTCTCACTCCGTCGCCCAAACTGGAGCCCAAGTGGCACCATCTCAGCTCACTGCAACCTTGAACTCCTGGACTCAAGCCATCCTCCCACCTCAGCCACAGGTGCGAGCCACGGCACTCGGCCAAACTTCACTGTAGCTATACGTGAGACCATTATAAGGTTTTAAGCAGCAGTGACAATGTGTGACTTGCTGTTGTTGTTATTGTTTTGAGAGGGAGTTTTTCTTTTGTTTGTTTGGTTTGTTGTTTTGTTTTGTTTTTGATGGAGTTTTGCTCTTGTTGCCCAGGCTGGAGTGCCACGGTGCAATCTTGGCTCATGGCAACCTCTGCCTCCCAAGTTCAAGCGATTCTCCTGCCTCAACCTTCCTGGTAGCTGGGATTACAGGCATGCACCACCAGGCCTGGCTTATTTATTTGTTTATTTATTGAGACAGAGACTTGCTCTGTCACCCAGCTGGAGTACAGTGGCGTTCAGCTCACTGCAACCTCTGCCGCCCAGGTTCAAGTGAGTCCCCTTTCTCAGCCTCCCGAATTGCTGAGACTACAGGGACCTGCTACCACGCCCGGCTAATTTTTTGTATTTTAGTAGAGATGTGTT